CCCACCCCACCCCGCCCCGCCTTTTCGCGGTGCGGTGGTGCGCGGGGCGTGCTGTGGTGACTTTTAAGTTTTGTCCGTGTTGTGCCACGAGCATGGCTTGGGCGGGAGGGAAGAGCATTTATTTTGGGCGCAGCCAGTAGCCCACGTGCCCGCGGGCGGGGCAGGGTGGGGTGGGGCGGGGCGCGGAAGGTTTTTGGCGTGGCCGGCGTGTGGCGATGGGGGGGTTCAGGACAGTGTAACCCGTTCTGCGCCCGCTCTGCTTTGCCGCGCCCTATCGCCTCCACTCGAACCAGCACTGCAGGCCGGGCCGGGCCGGGGCGGGGCGGGGCGGGGCGGGGCGGGGCGGCTGCTGAGCCTTACGGTGCCGCGCTTGGCTCAATGTCTCAAGGTGCAACCCCGCCCGCTCCCCCGCCCCTATGAGCTGCCTGCCAGTCTGCGTACATATGTGTGTGTGTGTGTGTGTGTGTTCGTTCGTTCGCACAGACCTAACACAGACACACCGCGGTATCTGAACGAAATACGTAATTTTTGTCAGCGTTCAGGTCACCCCCCCTCTCCCTCCAGCGTGCAGATCACCTGAAAGATCTTCTGTTTCGAGAGATTGCATGTCCAGAGGATTTACCTGTAAGATCAAGACCTTAGAACGTGAAGGAGGCTGAGATTTTGTAGAAAGGAGGTGAGGGTGCAAGGGACACACATTGATCTCATATGCTCTTTCTTCTAGATCTCGCTTCAGATCCAAAACTTTTCTTATTACTCAGTGCTTGACAAATTTCAAGTCACATACTTTTTAAGTTTTGTTTTTCTTTGAGGTTTATATTTGCAACGCCATAAAAGTATTTTGTTGTACGTGATGTTGTACCTATATACGGTCGCACTGTCTCTGCGGTACGCCTGAGGTTACCGGGGTTGGGGGGGGGGGGGGTTCTGATCGTAAAGACTGTAGCGTCAAGCGCACGGTGCTTGCGGTGGGACCCGTACCCGTGTGGTGCAGGTGCTGCCGCCTGCGCCTGAGCGGCGCACATACCATCCTGCAGGTTTACAGGGTGCGCCAGAAACCTACGACGCCCGTGTCATTCGCGTTGCCTACGCTCGACTCGGTGGGCGCAGCGTCGGCAGCGACCCGAACGATGTCTGAGCGCACGCCACTCGGGGAACGCTCAGTCGAGCGTAGTAGTACGTAGGTACGGGCGCAGGTTTTGGCGCACATGACGCATGGGGAGAAAAAGATAAGCTGTACAGCCAGACCATTAGCTAAATACTAATTATTTAGCTATGTAGCTAAAAAATTGGCCTATGAGATGGTTCTTAAACTTAAGGTATGTTGCCGGAGATTTCGGTACGTATGTACCTTGTTGAATAAACAACACAGCCAGATTTTAGCTTCATAGCTAAATTATTCTAAGTCCCGTATTTGACTATTGGTTTAACTCGGGTTTAGCTAATCTTTTTCAGCGCGGATCTGGTGAGGGCGAGAGGGGGGTAAATGGAGCTGTCGCCCTAACGTCTGCTTTATGGTGGGGCGATACCCAGATTTAGGATTTTACAAGTTTTCGTAAAAGAGTGGTATTGTAATCGTAAGTCAAATTAAAATTGGAGGAAAGGGGGGGGGGGGCGGTTTTTAGAAAGACAAATTTGCAGAAACAGGGATTTGGGGCTGGGGGGCAAGCCGGAAATGAATGAGGAAAACGGAAACAAAGGACAGGAAAGAGAATGAGAGTGAGACGGAAGAGGAAGGGGAGACGCTCGCCGAGGAGCGGCGGGGCGAAAGGGGAGGGGCTGTCGGTAGGCCGGCCTGCTGGCTGGGCGAATTACACAGCTGATATCTTGTTTGTTGTCCTGAGGGGGAAACCGGATGTTTTCGACGCGTCCTTTCATTGGCTGGGCGGTGGGTGAGACGCTTGCTGGCGCCTGCGCGGCCCGCCCGCGGATCACGCCCGCAGGACAAGGCGCCTGATAAGGGCGGCTCTCGGTCCTCGTGTATGACGTGCGACGGACCCACCCATCCGCGGCCCTCCCTCCCTCTCCCACTCTCTCTCTCTCTCTTCCCCTCCCTCTCCCTCTTCCCCTCCCTCTCCCTCTCCCTCTCTCTCCCTCTCTCTC